TCATCATCATCATCATCATCATAATCGAATATAGTGCATTAATTTCACAATTTTTATCACTTCAATATTTCATTTAATTTAATAATCAAGTATTAACTTATTACCCTTAATGTTAAAGTTCCCAGTCTGCCCCACAGAACTTATGTGTTTATGTATTTAATTGATATAGGGTCTACTTTTCTCTGATAAGATTAAAAACAAGTGGAAATAAATGGCCGGTGCAATGTAAACAATCTTTTCTAAACTAGTATCTTGAGCCCCCCTGAAACTGACCAAAGAACTCCAGGAAAGCAATTCTCACCCATGTAAAAGAATCACTATTCTACATTTAAGTAATGCTTTAAATCCATTCATTATGTTTAACCATTTAATTAATCTGAACTACACTATGGAAAATGGTATCTTTGTTTTTATAAGTAAACTAGCCTGTATAAAAGCAGGTTACCATCAAATTCAGGGACACTTCAAAATACATTTGGTTTTTGGCCATCAAGTATCAAGGGACATAATACAAATCTAGCATGATGAGGGTTACTTCTGTTTTCCTCTATGGAGTGGAGACTGGAAGGCAGGAGGAAGGAAGAAATAAGCAGATTGCTTTAATTGCAAGATCCAACACTTGTAAGCTTAAAAAGAAACATTGGGTAATATTGAGAGCTTAGTGAGAAGAGATTTATGTAACCTGCACCTAAACCACAAGTCACATGGGCTCCCCCACTCCCTTTGAGACTTTTGCTCAGAGCAGAGGTTATGTTTTTAACTTGTTTCCTCCTCAGTTATGCAGTGCCAGCCTGGGGTGAATGACTTCAAGCTGAGTCCAAGATGTCCTTAAAGAGGCTCATTCAGCAGAACCGCAAGGCCAGCTGCGGGAGCTATGGAGTGAATTCAGCTTACAGCCCCAGCTTAGAACCCATTGGTAGCCCGAAACTGGACAACAAAAGTACCGAGATCTTCCCAAAGTCAGTGGAGACTTTGTCCAGGGACCTCAAGCAGGTATGTTTCACTTCAAAGTTGTGCTGGACCTATATATATATATATACATATATATATACATATATATATATGTATATGTATATGTATATGTATATGTATATACACACACGCACACACAGAAAAACGGGGTACGGTGTTTCTTAGAATCGTGGGTGAGATCTATCTATCTATCAATCTCAAACTGTTAGTGGTGCTGGAATTAGCGTGCATCTTGCAATCAGTGGTGTCTTGGAAGCGAAGAAATACGGTAATATGTCAGATTAAATTCCATACTAATCTTACCTGCTGTCAGGTCTGGCCCTGCCATTGGGCAGAGTGATGCAAGAGCCTTTAGTCAGCAGATCTGGGGTGTTGTGAATGGGCAGCAAATTCCTAGTTAACTTACTTTGTTCTCTCTGTATTTTGATCTCCAGGAATGGGGAGAGGTGCTTGCAAGATATTGTTTTGCATGCTGAAATATCTTGTTTGGGTTTGTGTACATGGTGCCACTTGGTGCTCTGCCTCAATAGCAAATTTTCTTGGGCCAGTCCTGCTTCTTTTGTGTGTAACATTTGTCGGAATCCCAAAAATTTGCAGGTGAAACTTTCTTCCATTGTTTATTTCCACACCTGGGGATCAAGGATGGGCTAACTTGCTCCATTTCCATTTATTTGTGTCTCTCGGCCCTTTCACACAGCTAAATAACACGGAATATCAAGGCAGAAAATCCCACAATATCTATTTTGAACTGGGTCATCTGAGTCCACACTGCCACATATTTCAGTTCAAAGCAGACGTGGGATTTTATTCAGCTGTGGGGAAGGGGCCTCTGATAGGCATAGACTGGCACAGGGCCAAATCTGCCATAAATCCAAGTAAAGAAGATGCTCTGGCAGATGATTTGCTGTGTCCTGAGTACATGGCAACTTGTTATTTTTCAATCTGTTGTTGTTGTTGTTGTTGTTGTTGTTGTTGTAATGCGGGAAAGGGACTTATGGGATTTGTCTCAATGCCAAAATAATTTGAGCAGTTTCAGGCAGTGGTGGAGCTATGAGAGGGCAAAATGAACATTGCCCCCCATATAAATTCTGCCTCCCTGGATAACATTTTTTTGCAATCTTTCAGAGACACATGAAAATCATTTACATGTAGACCATACCAAGCATATCTGCTGTGCTCACATTACCCTTGGTAATGTTGCCTGCTCCTTTTCTTTGGATGCGAGAACTCTAGTTCTAAATGCCGAACTGAAATTTAAAGTTACTGAACACTAGAAATTGGGGAGCTGGCAGAAACTGTCACCTTGAGAGGCAATGTCCTCATTTTACCCCCCATCCATTCAACTGATGCTTTACCGTAGTAGGGCAAAGCATCAGTTGAACATCCTAAGAAAAAGGCAGGAAAACTGAATCTGAACAAGTAACAATAATAGTTCTGAACATGAATGATTTTCAATGTCTCACTCTCTCCAGTGGTATAAATTCAGGGATTCAAGGGAATTTTAATGGGGGTTTTTCTTTTGGGAGACAATGCTCTCCTTCTGCACCCACCTGGCTTTAGATACTATATCCTTTGCTTATATGTGGTTGCATGTGTGTGCAGATACCATTTTGAAAGGAAGGCGGGATATACATTCAATTAAAAAAAATTAAACAATCCTCTTCCAGATAAGGCAACAAAAGGCTGGACGTGGCAACTCTGGGTGATTCTAATGGCATCACAGGGAGAATGGCCAACGGGGACTGTAGTATGTACTTTCACTCTGCTCAATGCTTCTCAACCTGTGGGTCCCCAGGTGTTTTGGCCTACAACTCCCAGAAATCCCAGCCAGTTTACCAGTTGTTAGGATTTCTGGGAGTTGAAGGCTAAAACATCTGGGGACCCACAGGTTGAGAACCACTGGGTTAGATCTTTAAAACAACCAGTCGCCATGGAGCATGAAATCAAGATCAATATATAGTTCAGCCAGTCCCTAACAATAAGCTCAGTAAGTTCTATTGCTATCACTTCCTAATTGGTGGCAGCAACCATTTTGAAATGTGCTCCTTTTTAAAATTAAGAGATTTTGTTGCTTTTACAGTAGAGCTCTGGACAAAAAAACAATCTGCTATTACTACGCTAACTGCATATTCCTATTAACATTACTAATAGCCATAATTGCAGATCATCACATCATTAGGTTTCTTATGGCTTAGAAAATCCATAAATTATTTCCAGTCTCTCTCTCTTTTTGAACTGGTTTATGTGTTTGGCCCTACTCAGCAACCTAAGCAATTTGATCTCCTCATGATGATACTTCCAGTCTGTTTCCAAGTTTGAGCAAAGAATATTCATGCTACTGCCGAAGGCTTTCGTGGCCAGAATCACTGGGTTCTTGTAGGTTTCTTTGGGATGTATGGCCATTGAAATCCACAAGCATGTGGGCAATTTCAATAGAAACCATGAAAATGAAGAAACCATGAAAATGAACAAAAACTGACTACCAGCATTTAAAAACTCTAAAATTATAACAGTAAATAAAGAACAACTCTCAAACACAGGGGAACTCCAGACAAGAAACAACCAGATACAGCTAACCACCTCTCAACAAAGGATTCCCTCAGGCAGTAAGAAGCAACACCTTGAAAACCGCTAGGCCATCAAATGCTAATCAAGGTGGCCAATTGAAACATTCACACTTGCCTCAAGCAGACAGAGTGCTTTCTCCCACCGTGGACATTATTCCGCAGATATATAAGCCTCACTTGCCTAGTTTCCAACAGACTTCACAACCTCTGAGGATGCCTGCCATAGATGTGGGTGAATCGTCAGAAGAGAATGCTTCTGGAACACGGCCATACAGCCCAGAAAACTCACAGCAACCTATACTTATTTAAGTTGTATATCCCTTTTCTCCTTACACTTTAGTAGGGAGTTGGAGATGTTGTTTGATATTCCTAGGCTTTTCAGTAGACGATTTTGTGGCTATTGGCAACCATTGGCTTTGACCAAGAAGCAATTTATTGGTTATCCAGCTAAACTTTTGCCAAACGTATGACTATTGTCTGTGGGCACTGGGTTTTTCCTTTTTCAATGATGACCTTGCCTTGAGCCTTCAGAACAATGTGGGCAAATCTGCATGATGGAAAGAGAAAACTGAATATAGCTGCCTATTATAAGTTTTCTACATGTTGAACTGCAAACCTAAATGTTTTTTTCCATATTAAAAACTTCACATTGTCCAGTATACAACACAATACGAAACAGTGCTCTTTGGCCAGCATAAATGTGACAAAACAGGATGAGTCATTAGTTGGTCCTGTCTGTGAGTGTTTAGTCCTTTTTGAAATGCTTCCAAACATGCAAAACCTTGCTTAGTGACAATTTAGTCGCAACATCATCATCATCATCATCATCATCATCATCATCATCATCATCTCTCTCTCTCTCTCTCTCTCTCTCCCCCCCCTCTACCTCTCCCCCCCCTCTCTATATATATGAAGAATCCATTAACTCATGCCCCGCATCGCCTGACTCATGCCATTTATTTATGACAAAAACATGGGAGTCCTCACGTGTTGCTGCCATGGCGGCATGCGCCGGTTGAACTTCCCTTTTACAATGGAGCCCCACCCGATGTTGCAATGTGTCGTGGTGAGTTCCGTCGCAAAAGGGAAGATGAACAGGCACATGGTGCTGAATTCACCCCCCTCTGATGAAGTCTTAAATGAGCCCATTGGCTAAAATCCCCTACCCACTCACTCACTCACTCAAATCTTCTCATTAGGCATTGGTGGAATAGCATTTTTAATATCCTCCTCCTTAAGCCTAAGTGAAGCTTGCTTCCCAGCACAGGAAGAATATTGATAGATTTCAACCATGTTGTTGGCACTGCCCAGTTCACTGGCTACTTGAGATTGTTAGAATAACTCTTTAGAACTAAGTTTGGAATGTTTATACTCATGTTAAACCATTATTTCAATGTGAATTTCCCAAATGGGAATGGATTTTGTTTTATAGAAATCACTAAATTGCTAATGAAACTGACTAGCTTTTCTTTATGCCCTTTTCTAGCTTGCTCTAAGCAGAACAACTTCTTTGGGTGACTTTTCTGGCCCACAAAGGTAAGGAGGATTTCACTTTTCCCCATTAATATCAACTGTGATTTCACTGTGTAATAGTTGCATCCCCCCCCCCTTTGGCCAAAAAAAGACTGTGACTATTATGTGGTGGTGACTATTATGCAATGGTGACTATTACGTGGTGAAAAACTCTCCAGCTACAGGGCTCCACATGGCTGACTGCTGAGTGAAGCCCTGTAGTTGCAAAGAGCTCAGATATGTGGGCAAGTCACACCCTTCATTCACTTGCCCAGACAGGTGCATAGACAAGTGAATAAGGGGTGTGCCTATTATGTGAGGAATAGCAATCCCCCCCCCCCAATATTACCATTACAAAAATAGTGGTGTGACTATTAAGTGATGACATCTATTATGTGAGGAAATACGGTATACTACTATTGATAATACAGTACTACTACTGTATCCACAGGAATATGTCCCTGCACCTAGCTTGAGAACAGGAAATGTGCACACACAGTAATGATGTTTTGTCCATCACTTTTTCTATATTGTGATAAATAATAAGGAAAGTAATTCTTTCTGAGAAGAAACTATTGATGATAGTGGACTCTTTTGAAATTAACAACTTTTGCCAGAAGTTATTACAAATTTATGCTGAAAGACACAGATAACTTCTAGAGAGGTATCCTCTTCAAGAATTTGCCAGTGTGACTTTATGGCAACATCTGGCAGAAGCATATCATAGAATTGCTTGTAGAACTTTGCAAATTCCAAGAGTGCACATATTTTGTGGAACTGTGGATACTGGTCCTGTGGGTACAGGGATCATACTGCATATTAATTACTTATCTAGGTATACTGAGGCATGCATATTAAATGGCAAAGATGCAAATGTGAAACAACAACTACAGTGAAATCTTTTGAGATGGAAAGTGATGGGGAGTCTGAAACAACTCAATAACCATTATCAACTACCATCCTAGACAGCAGTGTTGTGAAATTAAGTATTAGCAATAAGAGATATGATAATTTCTCCTGCCTTGCCCACACAATGCCAGGGTACATAGGAAAAGGCTCCTCACTCCTCCTGTCTAGTGGTCTAGTTCACATAGTTAAATAGGGAAACTAAATGTGTCAACCTTTGCCCAAAATAAAGCCCAGTGGAAATGACAGCTACAATATTAACCCCTCCATTGGGAAAATAGTTTAGGCCCCTTCCACACAGCTGTATAAAATCCACATTGAACTGGATTAAATGGCAGTGTGGACTTAGATAATCCAGTTCAAAGCAGATATTGTGGGTGATCTGCCTTGGTATTCTTGGTTATATAGCTGTGTGGAAGGATCCTTAGGAAAAAGATGTGTGAACTGAATGGATTTGTGAATCAAGCAATTGTTTATGTCACAATGAACCCATAACTCAGCCTGGCTTTACAGGAAAGCTGCTATTTGAAATGATGTTATAGAAGTAAGATGTAAGCTGCAGAAGAGCACACCATGACTGTCACCATGTGCTCAAATTACATTCAATTAGAATTATCACTATAGTATGTTAGTCATGTATATATGGCTCGTAAAAACCTAGTCCAAATGATCTTTGGAGAAGTGCAGCATGGGGATAATAAGTTCTGAGATTCATGGCCTTTCCATAATACCATAGCTGTTGTTGTGTTGCCATATAACTATAAAAAATTTTTTGCCAGGGTAATACTGGTGCATGTGAACGACATATTTATTTTAAATAATATCTTCAAAAATGTTTGACTCTACTGTTGCTAATGTTGATGCTTGTTTAATTTTCTGCAGAAAGTCACTTAGAATCTTTAAAGAAGATAATGAAACATTTGGATTTGAAATTCAGGTAAGGCGTTAACACTGTGAAGAGGGGAAAACTGTGGCTCTGACCTATTAGCCTGAATACCCTATGAAACAGAAATTAGCAGGTTCTCTGGGGGTAGGAAAATTGGAATAAATGTTCAGCCTCCTCCAGTGTCATGATCCTGATCAGGCCATCCACCTCTTTCCCCCACCTGGCTAATGACACTATGTGTGATGGCACTCCTGAGCCTTTGGGAAAACTATAGCATCTGGCTTTACTCAGGGGCTATCTGTACACCTTCTGTTAAGATTAAGACCCTTAGCAGACAGATGCACTTTGAGGCAAGGTGAAAAGATAACTGAGTTTACTGAAACAAGATGAATAAAGGGTTAACTCCACCTGGGACTATCATGACGTAACTTAAAATAGTACATTAGAAAAGGAGAATTTGCTGGTTGTAGTCATCTTTCTGGAATCTTTGAAAGACTTTTGTCTCTGGTGTAAACCAATGGTTTATAAGTTTTTGCTTGCAAACTGTCTTAATCTTCTCTCATATGAAGCTTAGGATGGCCAAAAGCTTCCTTTGTCCTTTGGACTGTTGGTATAATACAGATAAATGCAGCAGTTGCTAAGAATGCCTGTTTTTTGCCTAGGATCACCTGACAATGCCCCAAGCCTCTAGTGACTGTAGAAAAGGGAGGACTCCAGTAAGAGAACTTTATACAGGGAAATGGAATAGACCAAATAAGACTGGCCTGTGGGGGGATCTTAAGCTCCACCCAAAAACTAATACAAAGGAAGGTCTCTACACTATTGGGAAGGCCTATAAACAGGGGGAACTAAAGCTAAGGAGAGGAGAAAGCAGAGTCAAGACTTCACACTATGGATTTTCTACATTCTGGTAATAACAAGGGCATAAAGAGCCAAAAGGTGCTCTGATCTTGGAAGCCATGCAAGGTCAGCTCTTATTAGTGCTCAGAAGGAAGACCAACAGTAGCTGCTGTAATATACTATATTTCAGAGGGAGGAACTGGTAAACCACCCCTGAATATTTCTTTCTTAAGGAACCCCATTAAAATCCACTAGTCACCATAAATCAACAGGCGACTTAAAGGCATGTTTTGTCTATCACTTTTTCTGTATTGTGATGAATAAGAAGGAAAGTCATTCTTTCTGAGAAGAGGGTGAACAGAGCCTATGAGTCTGGGTCCCTTTCCCACTTTGTTTCCCTTCCCTCTTATAATGAGTTGAATTGGGGGAAAGATAATAGCTTCCTCCAAATCACTTTCACGCAGTTTGGTAACTTTAGAGAACTGGCTTGCTGGGTGGGAAGCTTTTAAAAAAAACATACAAAAAATAAAAGGACACAGAGGAAGTGCTTCTTTTCGCATGACGAAGGTGGGTGCAATTTGTGGCTCTGTAGAACAAGCCCACAAGCTCTGCTGGTAAATGAGAAAAGGAAGGTGTGCACTTACCCATTGACAAAAAGAGGAAATGTGCTGGCAAAAGACGATTTCTCTCAGATTCATATAAACATAAAATCTACTGGGGTGGAGGAAGTATGGCTCACAGCTGTGTGCAAACTTTGAGACTCCCACTGAAGTCCTCATTGAGCTGTCTAATGCTCATAGACCTCCCATTTTTTAAAAAAAATAAAATAAAAATCCCCCCCCCTTGCGACCCCCCGCCCCCAGCAAATTATTGTCATTTTGCCCCCAACCTCTCTGCCTACTATGCCCCGAAAAGTAAATAGATAAATAGTGGCTGAAAAATAGCTAAAATCAAAACTGGAAGTGAGCTCAACGTCACTTTTAGACCTATCAGGTATAGGGCTGAAAACCGGTTCCCACTCCCTCTGCATTTGCCCACCTTGATGCTAGAGATATATGTGGAAATTTAGAAACATATCGTATCTTTAAATGGAAATGTAATACTTCTCACTGAATTGAATTGGGGCTGCGTGTAGAATGATGAAAGTACTATGAACAGATAACCCGTGTGCCTGTTTGGTTTCTTCCTATGTGCCAATTCTTGATGAGCAATGCCATTGTTCTTGGTCTTTAAACTAGACTTAGAGTGGAGTTCCCATTAAAGAGAATGCCCACCATAATGCAGAGGTAAGACTCTGCAGGGCCAGGTTCTCCGACTAATAACAGTGTTTCTGGCTATTTACAGATGTTGCCTTTCCAGTGCCACAGTAGTCAGTTCTTGGAAATGTGTGCTTATGTTTGCAAAGTGAAAGAAGGAAGCCGTGCCTCACTTTCTGGACTTCAAAATGGTAATTACTCTTTCTCTATGCTAGCCTTCCCTATACCACCAACCCAGAGCCCAACCTGCTTTTTGAGGATAGAGAAGGATCACAGGAAAGGGTCTTTTTGGTGGCTGCCCCCAAATTCTGAAACTTACTCCTCAGGGAGTTTACACTGGCGGCCTATACCCTGTCTTTCCACAGATATAGTGAACCCTGTTGAAATGCATTACTTCTGCCAGAAGTTCCCATAAGGTTACATTAGAAGATCTAAAATTACTAAAGAGCTATTTCTGTAGGAATTTGCTAGGCTCTTTTACTTCTAGTAAAAGTATGCTATTGTATCACCTGGAGGACTGAGGGCTCTTCCACACAACCCTATATCGCTGAATATCAAGACAGAAAATCCCGCAATATCTGCTTTCAACTACGTTATCTGAGTCCACACTCAGATAATGTGGGATTTTCTGCCTTGACACTCTGGGATATAGGGCTGTGTGAAAGGGCCCTTAGAAAATTTCTAGAGATGGCACATTTTGTCAGATGTGGGTAGGTGAATCTGTGGGCTCCTCGGCTGTGGAACGCTCTTCCTACGGACATTAGACTAGCACCATCTCTAATGGTATTCCGCAAAAAAGTGAAGACCTGGCTGTTTGAGCAGGCGTTCCAATAATGAGTGCAATGATTGGTTAATGAACACTGGAATGGAACAATGGATGACGAATCTGGAACATGTTTTTGATGACGAGACGACAGTGAATGATGCATATTTATTTATTTATTTATTTATTTATTGCATTTGTTGACCGCCGTTCTCAGCCCCTTAGGGCGACTCACGGCGGTGTACAACATATAAAAACAGTTTACAATACATATAATTAAACTAAATCATCCGCGTCGTCTCATCATAGAATCATAACCCAATCTCATAGTCCATATTCCGTTCCAGTCGTCATTGCCAATTGTTATAGCACTTAGTTAAACGCCTTTTCGAATAACCATGTTTTTAGGCTCTTACGGAATGCCATAAGGGAGGGCGCCTGTCTGATGTCAACAGGGAGGGTGCTCCATAGCCGGGGGGCCACCACTGAGAAGGCCCTATCTCTCGCCCCCGCCAGACGTGCCTGTGAGGCAGGAGGGATCGAGAGAAGGGCCTCCCCAGATGATCTCAAGGCCCTCGTGGGCTCATAGGCCGAGATGCGGTCAGAAAGGTATTTTGGGCCGGAACCGTTTAGGGCTTTGTAGGCCAACACCAGCACCTTAAATTGGGCCCGGTAGCAAATCGGCAGCCAGTGGAGCTGGAACAACAAGGGCGTTGTGTGCTCCCTGCGTCCCGCTCCTGTTAGTAACATGGCTGCCGCGCGCTGGACTAGCTGAAGCTTCCGGGCCGTCTTCAAGGGCAGCCCCACGTAGAGAGCGTTGCAGTAGTCAAGGCGGGATGTGACCAGAGCGTGTACCACCGTGGCCAAGTCAGACTTCCCGAGGTACGGGCGCAGCTGGCGCACAGAGCCTGAGCTGTGCAAATGCTCCCCTGGTCACCGCTGAAACCTGGGGATCCAGGCTCAACGATGAATCCAGGATCACACCTAAGCTGCGAACCTGCGCCTTCAAGGGGAGTGCGACCCCATCCAGCACAGGCTGTAACCCTATACCCTGTTCGGCCTTGCGACTGACCAGGAGTACCTCTGTCTTGTCTGGATTTAATTTCAGTTTGTTCGCCCTCATCCAGACCATTACCGCGGCCAGGCACCGGTTCAGGACCTCGACAGCCTCCTTAGTAGCAGGTGGGAAGGAGTGACAGAGTTGGACATCATCTGCGTACAGATGACACCGCACCCCGAAACTCCGGATGATCTCACCCAGCGGCTTCATGTAAATGTTGAACAACATGGGGGACAGTATAGAGCCCTGTGGAACCCCACAGGACAACGGCTGTGGTGTTGAACAGGTGTCCCCCAATAACACCTTCTGGGTGCGACCCTCCAGAAATGACTGGAGCCACTGCAAAACAGTGCCCCCAAGGCCCATTTCCGCAAGGCGCCCCAGAAGGATACCGTGGTCGACGGTATCGAAGGCCGCTGAGAGGTCCAGGAGCACCAACAGGGACACACTCCCCCTGTCTAGCTCCCAGCGCAGATCATCCACTAAGGCGACCAAGACCGTCTCAGTACCATGTCCCGGTCTGAAACCAGACTGTGCCGAATCCAGATAATCCGTGTCTCTCAAGAATACCTGGAGTTGTGAGGCCACCACGCTTTCCATGACTTTGCCCAAAAAGGGGAGATTGGAAACAGGCCTAAAGTTGTCAAATTTAGTGGGATCCAATGATGGTTTCTTCAACAGCGGTTTTATAATAGCTTGTTTTAAGCTCGCTGGAATCTTGCCTTCCCGAAGGGAGGCATTAACCACCACCGTTACCCACTCAGCCAATCCCCCTCTGGCCTCCTTCAGAAGCCAGGATGGGCAGGGGTCTAGGATGGACGTGGTGGGCCGCATTCCTCCAAGTATCTTGTCCACATCCTCGGGCTTCACAAACTGAAAAGAATCCATCAAAATAGGACAAGCAGGTGCTCGAGTCACATCCACAGAGACTGCATTTAACGTGGTGTCCAGCCCAGAACGGATCAAAGCGACTTTGTCTGCAAAGAACCGAGCAAATGCTTCGCAGCGCGTGGCCGAATTGTCAGGGCTCCCGCCAGGAGTGGCGGGAATTAAAAGACCTCTGACAATCCGGAACAACTCCGCCGGATGGTTCCTTGCAGACGCAATAGTGGTTTTCTTTGCGGCTTTTATTGCCGTGGCATATGCCCTTAAAAAGGACACAAACCGTGTTCGATTTGACTCGCTCGGATCCGAACGCCACACGCTCTCTAGTTCCCTCTTCCTTCGCTTCATCACTGCCAGCTCCTCAGTAAACCAAGGAGCTGGTTTAGCTCGGCTACTTGAGAGGGGACGTTCCGGAGCGATCATGTCAATTGCCCTGGCCATCTCCCCATTCCAGAGAGCGACCAAGGCCTCGACATGGTCACCTACCGAGGTGGCGGGAAAATCCCCAAGAGCCGTCAGGAATCCATTCGGATCCATAAGCCTCCTGGGGCGGACCATCTTAATGGGTCCTCCACCTTTGCAGAGGTTAGGGGGCGCAGTGAGCCTAAATCTGATCAGGAAGTGGTCAGTCCATGGCAACGGAGAGATGGATAACTCCTCCACACCGCCACCCTGCTCCCATCCCTGGCAGAAGACCAAGTCCAATGTATGTCCAGCACAGTGGGTGGGGCCAGATATTTGTTGGGACAGCCCCATGGTTGCCATGGCAGACATGAAGTCCTGAGCCGCTCCTGTGAGGGTCGCCTCGGCATGGATATTGAAGTCTCCCAGCACAAGAAGCCGTTGAGACTCCAACGCCAGGCTCGAGACTACCCCCGCTAGCTCAGGTAGGGAGACTGTAGTGCAGCGAGGTGGATGGTACACTAACAGAATCCCTATTCTGTCCCGGTCACCCACCCTCAGGTGGACGCATTCAAAATTTGTGGTCTGCGGGATGGGACTCCTGGTCAGATGGATGGAATCTCTATAGACCACTGCGACCCCGCCTCCCCGTCCTCCGGATCTCGGTTGGTGCTGTACGGAGAAACCTGGAGGACAAAGCTGGGTGAGATTCACGCCTCCAGCTTCATCCAACCAGGTCTCCGTAATGCACGCCAGATCTGCCCGCTCATCCAGGATTAGATCCTGGATATAGGTCGTTTTTCCGTTGACAGATCTGGCGTTCAACAGCACCACCTTCAATCCGGAGGGCCCGCCAGCCTGGTTACACCAAATTACCTTAGGAGACCGGTTTGGGGTTATTAATGTAGATAAGCGGTCCGAATTAGGCCGAATTTGAGGTCTCCTTTTTCCGCATCTCCTCTCCCCACCACGACCTCTATGGGGGCCCCTCGGCTAGTGGAACACCTCCCCTCCTCCATGCCGCACTCCAAATCCAAGGTCTTAGTTTCTGTTTCGTTAGTAATTGGTTTGTTGGCGTTTTTTCTTGCCAACTCCCTTGATTCCCTTTCTCCCCCCTCCCACCTCATTGTTGTCCACGGACTCCAGCCCACTTCCTCCCTTGCCCCTTCCACTAGTCACCAATATCAAGGACAATACAAATAGGGGAATGGGGAACCACATGGGTAATAATAGTACACTTCAGTAAGATTGAAAGTGATAAAGTGTAATAAGCGTCTCGGCCGCGACAATTAGATAGTTCATAAAGTGCCAGAGTCTTAAAGTGCAACACAGTAGGCGTCACCGCTGCGTGCCACTAGGGCAATTCATAAAGTGCAAGATCTTAAAGTGCAACAAAATACCCAAATCTGGCCCTCAGCGCTAACTAAAGTGCGGCAAGGAGGGATCGGGGAAGGGGGCGTAAGTGCAAGTACGGTTTAGCAGCAAAGAGGCAGGCGCCTTAAAGTGCTATATTGCGTTCTTAGTACCAATTAGCAGCAAGGTAGACAAGGAACGTGCTATGTTAGCAATATGTAAACACAATATTAAGGAGGTTGGCAGTGATATCAGTTTGGTAAGTTATGATTCAAGGTGTAATCTATGGATGGCTGATGTAAAGTAGCGAATGAGTCTCTCAGTCTTCCGGAGATGGTCAACACGGCGGTGGTCAGCACAATAGGTCTATCACAATGTCGGTCCACACAGAAAAGGTCGGCACAAAAGGTCTACACACGGCTTGCCCAGATGGTGAAGGCCCAGATGGTAAAAGATGGTAAAGGCCCAGGCGACCAGGGCCCAGCTCAGGTCGGTGGGGCCTACCAGGCCCGGAGGGGAGCTGCCGGCCTCGTCCTCTTCTCCTCCTCCCCCTGATCGGCGGGAGGAGGGCGGGCGGAGCGGTGGGGCCTACCAGGCCCGGATGAGAGCTGCCGGCCTCGTCCTCTTCTCTTCCTCCCCCGGATCGGCGGAAGGAAGGCGGGCGGAGCGGTGAGGCCTACCAGGCCCGGAGGGGAGCCGCCGGCCTCATCCTCTTCTCCTCCTCCCCCTGATCGGCAGGAGGAGGGCGGGCGGAGCGGTGGGGCCTACCAGGCCCGGAGGAAAAGCTGCCGGCCTCGTCCTCTTCTCCTCCTCCCCCTGATCGGCGGGAGGAGGGCAGGTGGAGCGGTGGGGCCTACCGGCCTGGAGGGGAGCTGCCGGCCTCGTCCTCTTCTCTTCCTCCCCCGGATCGGCGGGAGGAGGCAGGCGGCGCGATGGAGCCTATCTGGCTGAGTAGGCCGCAGCCCACAACCGGCCTCGGCGATGGTGCAGGGGAGCGCGACCGGTCCAAAACGCGGCGGCGGCCAATGGCGACCACGCCAGCCGCGGCACTCACCGAGCGGCCTTAGTCTCGGCAGCCCTTACAGCCCTTGCAGCTCCGGCCTTCTCCTCGGCGGCAGAACAGGCCCTCCACCTTGCTCCCAACGGGGATGGTAGTCGGCCCACTCACCGGTGAGGAATAGTTCTTCTTGTTTTTTCTGTCGGGGAGGAGGGAGGGAGCCGGCCGCGTTGTAATGGCGGCGCTCCCTTACCTTTACCTTCCTCCACCTTCCTCGCCCCTTTCTCTCGGCTCCACGGCTCTCTCCTCCGGTTGCTTGGGCCCTGCAGGACCGTAACTGTTTATTAATTGTGTAATGTGTTAGGTTGTTAACTGTTTCTATACTGTAGCACTGAATTTTTGCTGTTCGTATTTGTTGTGAACCGCTGTGAGTCGCCTTCGGGCTGAGAACAGCGGTATATAAGTAAGGTAAATAAATAAATAAATAAATAAATAATACAGTGCTCGTTCTGTAGAAATATGCCAATTCTACTAATAATAACAACAGTAATATGCCAAAAATACAATATCTTGCTTCTTCTGTTTTGCCATGGTTGCAGGCTACATCTTGATGACTATCAACGGAGTGAGCACATTGGGCCTCAATCGCAAGCAAATGGTGGACATGATCAAATCATCAAGGAATCTTTTAAGGTAATCAAGAAGCTTTACATGTATGATTAAAAGGCAGAAAGGAGGCTATTTTGTGAGTTGTTAATTATTATTAGCACTTTTGTTGCATTATTTTTCAATGCTGAGTAAGGAAAGAAGCTGCTGGTGAAAAGAGCAACCATGGTACAAGAGTTGTAAAATGTGAAAGGCAGAACATGGTTTCCAGTGATGGATCAATGAGATTGGTCATGAAACAATTGTGAGGATTAGGAATTTTACAGATTTGCTGGAGATTCTGGGGAATACAACACAGTCTGGGAAGTTTGTTGATTCTATGGGACATGTCAATGAGATTGAACCCAGAGGTGGCATAGGAGCTGAATCCAAGAAGAGAGCTGAGTAATGTCTTCATTGTAGAATGTAGTTCTAAGGATCCCACAGTCAGAATGGTAGGTGGACATCCCAGTTGGGGAATTCTGTCAGCTAACCATCCAAAAATAACTTATTTGAACATTCCCTGATAATAATACCCTTTCTCCTAGTTTCTATGTTGTTAAATCGCAACTCAAGATGATCATTTCTCCATGGCCATTCCTGGGTACATTATTCTCTTGCATTTATCTACAAATGATGCTACTTTTTGTTATTAAGAATTTATCTTCAAGCAACTGACTGGTTTTCTTTGGCTGGGAGGAATTGACAATGAAGCAAAGCATCATACTTTTCATTTCTCTGAATTGACAGAGTTCCATTTACTCAGGAATGACAAACATGTAGCCTCCAGATGTTGTTCAAGCCTGGTAAATGGTGAAGTGTGATGGGAACAACATCTGAAGGACTGTAGATTACACATTCCTAATTTAGCTTGTCATCCCAGTGTACCTGAGTCACCTAATAATCGATATTTAAATACTCTGTATTTAAAACCATATTTTCAAAGAGATAGGCAGACATTCTGTTGGAGTTTTGCATGTGTATCAGTTCCCTTACACAATCACTTGTACTTTTTTGGCTGTAAGTATTCAGTTCGCAGTTGTGTAAGCAGACTTCCACAAGTGTAATAATTGTCCATGTTTTCTTGGTTAGTGTGTAATGACTCACCAGTGTCTTCAATGTATCATTTGAATTACCAAAGACAACAGTTGTGCATCCCCGCTTTCCCACAGGGCAATAAGCTGGCACATTTGCAGAAAAACAACTGCCTGCACAATGTCAGTATTCAGCAAAAAGGTAGCATATATAAGTGCAGATTTGTAATATGCAAGCACAGTGTAGTGTTTTGGCCAGAGTGTGTCCATATAAAAATAAAAAGGTGGAGCCATTAAGAAAAAACAGATTTATGGTAGGCCAAGATGTTGTGCATTCCAATCTATTTCCTGAGATGGGCTGATGGCTACCTTCAACTTTCTCTTGTGAGTTACTCATGGCTATTTGTTTTAAATAGGGTGTGCACAGAAAGTAATTTCTTGATCACTTCTCTTGGGCCAAAAATGTGATGAAAGTGATGTTACTAAAGGGTGTTGAGGGTAAAAATAAAGGTTTTTTTCCCCAAGATGTGTTTAGTTTAAGTGTGCAGACTTCTGAAATTTTCTGCAGATGGCAATTCAGCCTCTAAGCTTTTGATAACACTATGGAACAAGATTTGAAAGATTTTCTGTTCCTGGTTTGAAAGTGTTATTCCTGTTTAATTGTGCAGTACTTTCTTTGAAAGTAGTTGTTATACTCCAGAAACTATGTTGAATTTGTTGAAACTTGAGATATTCATTGAAAAACTATTGTAAAATGTGCTGCAGGATGTCCCGTAAAACCAAAGTTTTTGCAGTTTAATAAATCCTTTCCATATTTTTATGACAGAACCAATTAGGAAATGACATTTATAACCCAGGTATAAACATCATGTTACATAGTGTCATTGTCCATGTGGCTTAAAGAAGGGGTGGATTTATTTTTTACCCCAGTTTTGTTTACCTGATGCAAGCGGTTCTGGGAAGAGTATATGCATACATATATAGTCACTGCAGGAGAAGGGTGATCTGAGGTAACTCCCTCCCTCCAGTGACCCATTCTTGACTGGAGTTTGTTTCCCTATTGATCAGGAAGCTAATGGCTCCACTTCATCCCACCCCTCTTGTAAGCAATCTGACCTGACATGAGGGTAATTGTAGCAGGGATCCTGCTTCTGCGTTTTGCACTGGAGAAAGTTCACTTGGGTTGATGGGAACATCAGTCAGCTGTTTCATGATCAACAAGGGAACAGTTGCACCGGGATTGTGGCGCAGCTGGCTGAGTGTCAGCTGCATTAAGATCACTCTGACCAAAGGTCATGAGTTCGAAGCCAGCCCGGGTTGGAGTGGGTTTCCAACCAATTGTGTAGCCTGTTGTCGACCTTTGCAACGTGAAAGACAGTTGCATCTGTCAAGTAGGAAAATTAGGTACCACCTTGTGTGGGGAGGCTAAATTAACTAATTTATGAGGCCATAAAAAGACTCCAGCAAAGCACTCCAGCAAAAGCATGCGGGGAATGCGGAAGTACTTCATCAGTGTCGCAGATGGACGATGAAAGCGACAGCTCCCCTGGCGGCCAGAAAAAGTTAAATAGCCTCGGTGTATGTCTGTATACGTTGTATGTCAAATTGGCATTGAATATTTGCCATATATGTGTACACTGTAATCCGTCCTGAGTCCCCTGCAGGGTGAGAAGGGTGGAATATAAATACTGTAAATAAATAAATAAAATAAATACAGAGGGATTGGGGAAGTTGGGTTGGGATTCACTATATAGCTTTAAAATACTATGGTTATGCAGCAATTATGGCCAACAACAACAGCAACAGCAACAACCACATCAACAAGAACAGAAACCAAGATTAAATGGATCTTTGACTTGAACCAGTGCAGTGCCTTTACAATCTTATGTCATGTTCCAAATGTCTTTGTGAATAGTTATTTTTTAAAAGTACATGCATCTCACCATAATAGCAATAATCATAAATAATATTAATATTATGTTTGTTGTTTGCAGGTTGGATGTTGTGAATGAAGCCTTGATCATAAAGCAAATGGAACTGGAAACTAAGTTGCAATTTTTGAAGGTACTATTTCTGCATGAAATCTGAAAGAAATCACTATTTCACTATTGTTTTGCATTTAACAATTCTTTGGTTGCCCTAACCCTAATACTAATCCTAACCCAAGAAGTCCATGTAAACATACGTAGAATTCCATGCAGGTGAGTGGGTAGGCTAGCTATGTGAAAGGGTTTCTGTATTGGTTGTGGGAAAAGGGAAAGCTGTTCCTCAGCTTCATTTCTCCTAGATCTACCTTATATGCCTTATAATCCATATTATCAATCTAGATTATCTGCTTTAAACCAGATTATATGAGTCTACACTGTTATATAATCCAGTTCAAAACAGATAATCTGAATTTATATGGCAGTGTAGATGAGGCCTTAAAAGACAGATTTTAAGCCATTTTAGAACATTCTACTAAAAATTCCCATCCATGAGTCCATTCCTCCTGTGCAGCCACTATGGAAATCCAAGTTACTCATCTCTTAGCAGGTTAATAATTCTTTTTAGTATCTTGACATTATAATGAAGTAACTATGGAGTCCGCCTAAGAACTGAAAAAAACTCCTTACTTTAAAGAGTAGTAGGAAAGTTTTTTAATTTGTGAAGTTAACATGGAAATGTTTTGAAGCTACCTAACCTCATATGTACACTGAACAAACATGGAATCATCAAGGTCAGAAATGCCCACTTCAGCTCAATGCTCAGGGAGGGATGTTCATCTTACCCTGCTGTAACTATGCAATCATAGTACTGTTATTCTACTTTAACTGCCACAACCATGTCCTATGAAATCTCAGGGTCTGTAGATGGATGAGAAACTCTCTAGCTCTTTAGCTGAGGACTCTAAATGTCAGTTCTAGGATTCCTTAGGATGAAACCGCAATGATTAAGGTGGAATCATAGTGCTATACCTGTGCAGTATGTATGGGCCCTTAGTCTTGCGTTACTTCCCCTTGCTTGTCTCCTGACTTGATTCAGTAGATGACAATTGGGCAGGAAGGGGGTTAAAGCTTTCTCCAGCACAATTGTTCCTTCATCCTGTTTGGAGCCTTTAGTTGCTGCCACCAAATGCTCACAAGGCGCCACCCCAGGAAGACTGCCAATACCTAGTAGAGTGTATGAGGGAATGGTACATCCAGCCACTGTTGTTGCTCACTCCAGTGTATTTCCCTAACCTGAAATAAACTCTTTAAGAGGGGTAAAGAGAGATGTGTCTGGGGAGGCCACATGCTCAGCTAAGCCCCTTATGTAACATGGAGGTACCACCTGATGTTGAACTCTAACTGCTCCCGATGCCTGGAATGACTGCAAGCACACTTTGATTACAGCAGCTAAGCAGTCAAGGAATCCCTGTCTGCCATCCAGCCTGGAAAGTGCTAGAAGCAAGTTGAACTGCACTGCCAGGTCTTTCATTGCTGTGATTAATGAGAACACAGCATTTGATTATCATGAGGCTTGGCAACTAGTTAGAATGCTGTGTGGATTCCTGACCGTTCAGTTGTCCAAGCCTGGACAAACTGCCAGATGATCTTTTTCTGTCTTTGAAAGAAAGCTTTTCAGAGGCGCTGGGAATGTATTTGAAGGGAGCAAGCCATTTGCTACAGTTTGTGATAGACCCTTTTTAACAGAAAGCTTTTAATACAGTTGGCCCCAATGAAGGGGATTGGTTAATTACAATCCCAACTGATTTAAGAATACAAGAAATGTATAATATCCCAAATTTATTCAGGAGTAATCATGATCACTGTTTGCTTTTCACAGAAAACTTTGCAAGAAAAAGTAATAGAATTCCAGTCTCTGTGCTTACAAGAACAACGCCTTTCCAATGGTAAGTCTGAATAGGAAGGAAGGAATAGGTCATTGAAATGACATGAACGAGGGCAATGTATCTGAGGCAACTTGATTCCAGTTTTGGTCTGTTATACCACTGACCCAGCCCTGCTCTAACCATTACAATAACACCAATTGTCATGTTGGCTTGGCAAAAATAATATCTAGGTATAAGTCTTGCAAGTGTTTCACATAAAGTGCCAGTACTTGGCTGTGCACATCTATGGAGAGTGGTGCCCCTGTCCAGATCCGTAAGGGATGAGGAAGCACTACACTTACTAACCCCACTGCTCTACCATTCAAGGTGACAAGCTCACAAAGCCACAAATTCATGGCAGAGACAAGATTTTAACCGGGAACTGGCAACTTGGTCAGTAATTTCAGAGTCATAAATCTGCCTTAAGCCAGTTCATTTTTATGATAGCTCCAGATGCAACAGCCAAAAGTCTCCCAAAACCTACTTTTTCAGCAGTGCATTCCTCCCTGTCCCCACCCCACACGGGGCTTTTTGTTTTGTCAGAGAACTGGAGGATGAGTGGGATAATGTCCTGCCCTTTTCCTGTAAGTTGTAATACTGCAAAAGTAGGGTTTGAGGGACCTATGAGGATGTAACTATATTTCAACCAGGGACTTCTTGATTTGGAATTTAACTCCTTAATTGTTGTTCTGGTCCACACTGTAACATTTATGTAAAATGTACCTGACAGAAGACAAACAAGCCCTTTTATTCCCAGAATTTCAAATAGCCTTCTCTCTTCCAAATTATATTCTAGATAGATCAAGACTGATACTTTATTTTGGTTTGTAAAACTAAATTTTCTGTAATTTTTCTGTTCTCTCCTCTCCCCCTTTCTCTTTCCATAGGTGAAGAATGCTCACCAGTAGATTCGGGGTGTTTAGAAGACTCAAATTTACTTGTAGATTATATTGGGTTGGAGTCAGTATGGGCAAACAAACCTCGCTATTCCAGTGAAAGCAGTTGTTTGAGTCGCTTGAGCTCCATGACGGTGGACAGTGAGGACAGCTTCTATCAGACCTGTGTTTTTGACGATACTTCCAGTGGGAGGTGTAGCCGGCAGTCCAGCATGGAGGATGACTGCTTTTTGCCAAGGGACACTGATGCCATTCCTGGGAAGACTTCACTCAGAAGATCCAGGAGCATTAGTGTGTCTAGCAATGGACCTGGCTCACCCTTGTCCCAGGATAGAGGAAGCTCCTCCAGTGTTTTTGGGACACTCCCACGAAAAAATAGAAAGGGAAGCGTTCGAAAGAGGCTGATGAATTTTATCCCTGGCCTTTACCGAGCTGTGGAAGAAGAAGAAAGTCGAGTCTGATGGCTGAAGCCACTCTAGAACTCTAGGCACAGGTGGACATTGGTTATGTCATCATAAAGTGGCTGAACTTCAGACTTTTGTTCAGTGAAGTCAGCATACGTCCAACCAACAGTTCATACTGAGAGACTTTCATATTTCCTGAAACAGTACTGACAACAGTGTTGTTGTTGTTGTTGTTGTTGTTGTTGTTGTTGTTGTTGTTGTTGTGTGTGTGTATTGAAGACAAGTGGGGATGGATATTTACTATTTTCTAATAAAATCAGTACTGTGGATTTGGCAGAGTAATATACAGCAATGACTAGAAATGCATATTCCTTGACAGTACTGTTTCCCCAAGTTTATTATTTGTATTAAAAAGAAAATTGGGCATACAGGTAGATCTCCCATATCTTTGAGGGAAGTGTTCAGACCACAATGACATAAAACTGCAAATATTGAATATCATTACATTACCTGATTTCTAGTAATGGTGTTGCATAGAAGGACCTAAGATTCTAGAGAGGTATCATGTCTCTACAAATATTATTTTTCCTGGGCACAGGTAAAATGATATGGGTCCCATTGTTATGGGGGACTTAGTGTATTATTTTTAGGCTATACTGCCATATAATGCAGTTTGAACTGCTTTATGTAGTTTGCACTGACCATATAATGCAGTTCAAACTGCATTATATGGCAGGGTAGATCCAGCCATGGTTCACTCAACTGGCATTAACACAGTATTTCCTTTCTGCTATTGTTAAGAACTCATAACTGTCCATCCTTGGTTTTAATATCCTTTGTTTGTCATGTGGAAGAACCAGAACTAATTATTCCTTGAGCCACAGGGAGAGGCAGGAAAGAATGATGATAGTAATAATAATAATAATTACAAGGCAAGGTAAAGAAGTCATCTTGGATATCATACACAACATGGTACAGGTTTGTATCACCCTTCCACCCCCCCCCCCCCAACCCTTGATCCATTTTCCTGTTAGAAGTAGAGATATGTTCTATAGAGTAAATAATTGCGAACTAAGGCAGTTCAATTTGCCAGTGTTTGTATGTTTGTGGACATTTTCTGCACTTGCCTTTTTACAGCATTGATTGTATTCAAAGTTGAAAATTAGAGGGAGGAAGATTATGTGGTTCAGGCCCGCACAGATCCCCTATATCTCATTTTTAAAAATATATATATTAAAAAATTGCCCCAAAATCTGGGTTTTGTCCAGCAATTGCACATTGGGGCCATAATTTTATTCCAAAACATGCTCCCCACAGCAATAATAATATAATAAATTTAAACTTTAAAATTGACTTAAGAATGGGAATATTCTTGCTGTCTTCAAAAATTGTAACAGTGTAGCTTAGAATAGAGAGGTGCACAAAATGAACTTCTATCCCCAAGTTAAACATACAGGTCCATACACTGGAGTCCTGAAACTGGCTACTGCTCCCTGTTGGGTATACAGTTTGGAAGAACCCAGAAGTCCAACACCTCTAAAAATAACATTTTAGACGACACTTCCCTAAACAATCCACATAGCTAGTGATCCAAGTTGTGATATCACCACAAGACAGATATGACTCACCATCCCTGACTATAGACACCCCTAGCATTACATTTAGGTGAGAACATGATTTCTGTAGAAGCATTCTTGGTTTCTTGCTTAGAATAGCAGGAGAAAGAGAGGAAGTGGTTTGCTGCCACATCACTGTAAAACGTCAGCTGATGCCACAATCTCACTCGCCTTACGATAATGAGCAGTGCTGAAATGAGGGCTGTCAACTGTCAGTTTCCCTTACTGGGCATTGGTCCTTTGAGCAAAATCATTCTGGGAAGGGAAGAAGGAGCTCTGGATAGTTGCATTACCTCAATCTTTACAAACCTCTTGCTAAGGAAGATCAACATGTTTCCAATCACATGTAAATGGCTGTTAATGATGTTTTGGCATCATTTCACTGTTCCCTTCCCTCTGCTTTCCTCCTCTGGTATGTCTCTTCTTCTGATTTGTAAAAGGACAGTGCTTATGTTTTATTTTTATTTATATGCAGAGCAGGCAAGCAATATAGCACATTGAATTCGAATTGTTCTGAGCAGAATTATAACATGAGAATAAATGATGTCCAAGATCTCAGATTGGGTTCCATATTGTAAATCTCTGTGATGTTATTCATTAATTGTAATACACAATGTATGTGCTGAATGGTAAGACAGTACAATGTAACCAAGATACTAAGTGTGTAACCAAGTGCACAATCAAGTGAACATGCACATCTAAGTGTAAGGCATAATATGCTTCTAGTGAGATGGATGATGTACACATTCATGTGTGTGTAACGCCACAGGATGAACAACTCTGTTTCTACAACCCTGGACTGAAAGTGGACATCCTGCACCAAACAAAAATATCTTGTGATTTTCATAAGTAAATTAACTATGCATAAGACACCAGCAGGAGTCTGGCTAAAGAATCATATAAACAACCAGCATCTTATATGCTAACAGCACAAGTTCATTCATTGCCAACTTGGAACTAATCCCCACTTAGTCTATTGGTGCTTGCTCTCAGGAAGTACACATAGGTTGCAGCTTGCAAGTATTACTGAAAAGAACGCTCTGTATTTCTCTGTCCAATAGAGGAAACCATGCAGGTATATGTACAGCAAATGTATGTACACAGCAGCATATGTAAAATGCACACTTTCCCCCATCCAATGACATCTCAGCAAGTGGGGATGCTGTTTTCCAAACTTATTTTGAATTGATAGATCATAGAAATGCATTAGCTTAATCTTTCAAGTTGTTGGGCTGTTGTAGGTTTTTGGGCTATATGGCCATGTTCTAGAAGCATTCTCTCCTGACGTTTTGCCTGCATCTATGACATCCTCAGAGGTTGGCTGGCATAGATGCAGGCGAAATGTCAAGAGAGAATGCTTCTAGAACACGGCCATATAGCCCAAAAACACCTACTACAACCCAGTGATTCTGGCCATGAAAACCTTCAACAATACATCTACTAGTTGTTGTTTGCGTTGTTATTTGTTGTCACATTGACTTTGCCGAATGGTGACCGTAAGAATGAAAGGCTCCTATGAACCCGTTACCATCAGCCTTGTCAGATCTTGAAAATATTCGGGTTGTGACTTCCTTGATTGAGGACCTTATCAGATAGTCTTTGGGCTCAATTTCCATGCACTTAGGAAAGAGAGCCACACGGGAGTCCCACAGAGGACATCACATGATGTAAGGGCACTTTTGGTGGGACTCTGTGAGGCTCTCTTTCCTCCGTACATGGAAACCGAGCCCAAAGACCATATTCAGGTGTTACCTGATTCCAAGCAGCAGAATATGGGGAAAGATGGGGAAGGGCGTAGTAAGCATGTGGGATGACTGGCCATCCCAGAAGGGAGGGGACGGGGTAAGATGAGGTTCTTAGTCTGTTCAAATGTTGTATGGTTTTCATCTTTTCCTACTCACTTCTACTTTATCAAGCATTATTTACCTAGACACTGCAGACCTCAAGTTCAGTTAATAAGTAAACTCCCTCCCTCTCCTCTCACACATACACACGCTGAGAGACAGAGCTTTCCCCTGATTTGATCCCCAAAACCCTGTGAGCTGGGTTTGGCTGAGAGGCCATAATTGGCCCAAGAAGTTCACAGAGTAAGTTTGATGGCTGATAGGGTCTAGAATAGTAATTCCCAAACTCTAATCATCCAGGTGTTTTGAACTTCATCTTCTAGAAGTCTCAGCTACTTCTGGCCAACTATAAGAGATTCTGAGAGTTGAAGCCAAAACATATGGAAGTCCAGAATTTTGGAAACATTTGTTTAGAACTTGGAGGCCCCTGGTCCTAGTCCAACATACTCATTGTGATATCAGGGTTCTTTCACCCATTAATGCTTGGAAAGCAAGCAAGCTAGCAAGTGGCCAGTAAATGAACACAGTTGTCAAAATTCAGTATCACAGTTGCAGGTGCATTACTTCGAGTTATGCATCCATAACGGATTCATATTCATGATCCCGGCATGGTCACATCATGGCACTATTGCCAGACATGTAACTCCCCTAACCTACTTTGCTGGGCATCAGCTGCAACAAGACATGAAGGTACATTCTGCTGTCAAGGACGAGGATGTTTCCATGCCTCCTGAAAGCCAGCAATGCTGTGACAATCAGGAGCAGGACTCTTGTTTTGTTTTTGTGTTGTAGCCTCACTGTTTGGCAGGAGGGAGGTGGAAACATCATTCATCCACACCTCCTTTTCTTGATGTGCCTGGTGCCTTGTAAAGTAGGTTTGAGGTTTGGGGCAGAACCTTGCGCATCTAACTGAGAACCCCATTTAGAATTCTGAGCAACGTTTGAAATGAATTACACTTATTTAAGTGAAAGAGAACATGAAAGTGAATGGGAGCCAATCGGTAGATAGTATGACCATTGTTACTGATTTTTCTCAAATATGTAAATAAAATTTACCTATCCATACACAGAATCAAAAGATTCACAACAAACTAGTGTAACAAAATCATCACTCTTCAATTTTGCTTGCATTGTGACATGGGCTGCACATCAAGGTATTTAGTGGTTCTGATGTAGCTGAAAAGAGAAACAGGAAGTGGGTGTCAGCTATAAGAAGGACTGCTAAAAAATGTTCGCTTGAAAAAATGTGGCTTAACCGCAATAGGGAGTATGCTTTTATGTGCTCTCTTAAGAGTAGAGGTAGGCGAGCACATGCTAAATATATGTTGTGTATTTTTGTCCCTGTGGATACATACTCACCCCATTGAGGTGAACTTAATTGGATTATTCTGTTGGAATGAATTCTTAATTACATCCTCAGTTTTTTTGGGCTGTATGGCCATGTTCCAGAAGCATTCTCTTCCGATGTTTCACTTGCATCTATGGCAGGTATCCTCAGAGGTTGAGGGGTCTGCTGGAAACTAGGCAAGTGGCGTTTATATATATCTGTGGAATGCCCAGGATGGGAGAGAGAACTCTTGTCTGTTGGAGGTGGGTGTGAATGTTTCAGTCGGATACCTGCCATAGATGCACCATGATTAGCATTTAATGGTCTAGTAGACAATAAACAATCAGGGACAGCTAATCACCTCTCAACAAAGGATTCCCTCAGGCAGTAAGAAGCCACACCTTGAAAACTGCTAGGCCATTAAATGCTAATCAAGGTGGCTAACTGAAACATTCACACCTACCTCCAACAGACAAGAGTTCTCTCTCCCACCCTGGACATTGAATGTCTCTCATATTAACCAATAGAAGTGCTATTTAGTGATTTGTTCCCAGCCCAGCACTGATTTGCTTACTTGTATTGACATATTAGTCAGTCCTCCCCTTTACAGATTCAACAATTTATTGAAACTCTGGCTGCTAGGAGGGAAAATTCTCTTCCCTATCCTAATTGGAGCTTTCTGATGCTGAGCAGAATTCTGGGAAATGTAGTTTAGGGCAGGGTGTTTTGAATTCTCTGCCATAGAGCTCCTTGCCTTCCCAAACTACATTTCCCAGAATTCTGTGCTCTCTCAGTCTCTTTCCCATCTCACTCAGTTTGTCCCACCCTGCTGCTTTCCTCTCCTCATGATGAGAGGTCATTAATTTAAAGAGGAATTGTAGTTTTTTTGGTTTCACCTCGTGCTGAATATGAAACTGACTTTGATAGACTTCCAAGCTTAACAGAATTCAGATGAAAAAGTATTGGGTGAGTCTTGATTCTTACGTTTTTGCAATGGTGCCATTAGCTTAGCTCTTGTAGGTTTTTAAAATAATATAACAGAAAACTAACAGAATTTTTGGAACGCCATAATAGATATGACACAGACCCTTTATGAAGTTTTCAAGATGCTTTAGAATCAAAACAGGAGTCGCACAAATTTCATAAATACAAGCGAAGCAGATTTTTGGCTTTGTGCACACCTCAAGATCCTGCAAGGAAGACTCCAGCAATACATGGAGCGAGAGTTGCCAGATGTTCAAGCTGGGTTTAGAAAAGGTAGAGGAACGAGAGACCAAATTTGCCAATATCCGCTGGATAATGGAGAAAGGCAGGGAGTTTCAGAAAAACATCTACTTCTGCTTCATTGACTATTCTAAAGCCTTTGACTGTGTGGATCATAATAAATTGTGGCAAGTTCTTGGTGGGATGGGCATACCCAAGCCACCTTGTCTCTCTCCTGAGGAATCTGTACAAGGACCAAGTAGCAACAGTAAGAACTGACCACGGAACAACAGACTGGTTCAAGATTGGGAAAGGCGTACGGCAAGGCTGCATCCTCTCACCCAACCTTTTTAACTTGTATGCAGAACACATCATGCGATGTGCGGGGCTGGATGAATGCAAAGCTGGGGTGATTGCTGGAAGAAACATTAACAACCTCAGATATGCAGATGACACCACTTTGATGGCTGAAAGCGAGGAGGAGCTGAGGAGCCTTCTAATCAAGGTGAAAGAAGAAAGCGCAAAAGCCGGGTTGCAGCTAAACGTCAAAAAAACCAAGATTATGGCAACAAGAATGATTGACAACTGGAAAATAAAGGGAGAAACCGTGGAGGCCGTGACAGACTTTGTATTTCTAGGTGCAAAGATTACTGCAGATGCAGACTGTGGCCAGGAAATCAGAAGACGCTTACTTCTTGGGAGGAGAGCAATGTCCAATCTCGATAAAATAGTAAAGAGTAGAGACATCAGAATGGCAACAAAGATCCGCCTAGGCAAAGCCATGGTATTCCCTGTAGTAACCTACGGATGTGAGAGCTGGACCTTAGGGAAGGCTGAGCGAAGGAAGATCGATGCTTTTGAGCTGTGGTGTTGGAGGAAAGTTCTGAGAGTGCCTTGGACTGCGAGAAGATCCACCCAGTCCATCCTCCAGGAAATAAAGCCCGACTGCTCACTGGAGGGAAAGATACTAGAGACAAAGTTGAAGTACTTTGGCCACATCATGAGGAGACAGGAAAGCCTAGAGAAGACAATTATGCTGGGGAAAGTGGAAGGAAAAGGAAGAGGGGCCGACCAAGGGCAAGATGGATGGATGGCATCCTTGAAGTGACTGGACTGACCTTGAGGGAGCTGGGGGTGGTAACGGCCGACAGGGAGCTCTGGCGTGGGCTGGTCCATGAGGTCACGAAGAGTCGGAGGCGACTGAACGAATGAACAACAACAACCCATTTATGTGCATAAGCTGCTCACCAATGAGCTTTATAATTTTCTGCCAATAGGTGGAGCTACCAATAGGAAAAATGGCTTGGAAACAGATCTGAAGAAATACACTGGATCTAAGAAGCATGTTTTACCTGCTTGGCCTATATATATCCCTTTTCACACTTTGGTTAGACGAAATTATTTTGATTTCACTTCTGCAAGAGTCGACTGTAAAATGATAGTTATCATTATAGCAGGTAGGAAGAAACTTTGGTCCTGCCTGGGAACAAATCTGACCCTCCATATAATCTTGTTCAAAGCAGATAATCTGGATGGCAGTGTAGAAGGGGTCACAGTTTTCCTCATCATATAAATGCCTCTTGTAAGTCTTAGCAACAGCTTTAAGAAACAAATGAACATATTTATTTGGGCACTTCGCACTACTGAAATGCATCCTTCAGTAATGTTTTTGAAATTGAATATGGCCCTTGGACTAAAAAGAAGTCTCCCAACCATGCGTTATATCTTGCTTTGCCTCCAAAGAGCTCTAGGTGAACCATATTGCATGTTTTATCTCTTTTCTTTATTCTCACAGGAACTGTATGAGCTAGATCAAGACAAGAGAGCATGGCAAACTTGGGAATTTCATGGCTCTGTGGAGTCATCAATCTGAATCTCCCAAATTCCAGTCATATTGCACATATTTATTCTTTTACCTTAGCCCTGTCTAGTTCATCACACTAGAGAAAAAATCCACTTAAAATACAGTTTCTGCCTCCTGCAGAATCCTGGGGTTTGTAGTTTAGTGAGGCTGTTAAAGGCTCCTTCCTAAACTACAAACCCCAGAATTCTGCAAGAGGCAGAAACCGGATTTTAAGTGGGTTTTTTTTCCCTCTAGTGTGTTGGTATGCTATAAGTATGTGAAATGTGGGCAGGTATACCAACTATCTAGGTGTGAAGAGCCACTGCCACATTTAGATTTTGGAACCATTGGGCTCCGAATGGTTTGACCCTTTACACTGACTGAAGGATCTCCTCTTCAGATCCATTGTGTCTGATTCAGAGGGAAATGCAATGATAATGGAGGAGGAAGGGGTTACCCACCATCCCACCTTGCACTATCAACTTGAGGCTTATTTCTAAACATGCAAAATGGATGCATTCCCCCATTTCAATTGTTACCTTCAGTAATGGTTTCTCTTCAGAATACATATGTTTTCTCAGCAGTTGCGGACAGGAATTTGTTTTTACCATTCTAGCTCAGCATGGTGTTGTAGTTGAAATTAGGAAATGTGGGTCTCCCAGGCCTTCTTCCAGACCCATTTCAGCTAGAGAGAACTCGTTATACCACATGTCTTCAGACCATGCTGCTTCTCTTCATGAAATACACTTTCCTAAAGCTTTCCCTTTCCTGGCATTCAGTGATTGCAGTCAGACATGTACAACTTTCATTGGGTGCCTCTATTCATCAAGGCTTTATAAGTCTCGTGGCATACCAAGTGCCAGGCTAGAGCAGCCTGATTCGCTCTCCTTTTGAATGTGCACTTCCAATTCAGTGCTAATATAATTGGAAACTCTAGAATTAGTCTCTTGTATTTAGTGGTCACAGAGATCATGGGCTGCCAAGCTCTTGAAATGCACTGCAGTCCTGTGTGCATCTTTTAATAGGGCTAGGATGAGGAGAAAAGGGAAAAATGTGGCACCAAGGTAAATCAACATTCTCAAAGATGGCAAAGACAAGAACAACACAAGGGCAGGGAGGTAGCAGTTGGGCTCCAGGAGGCGGCTCAGGGAGGCTGTCTTAGGCCCCTTCCATACAGGTGAATAAAATCCCACAGTATCTGCTTTGAACTGGATTATATGGCAGTGTGGACTCAGATAACCCAGTTCAAAGCAGATATTGTGGGATTTTATTCAGCTGTGTGGAAGTTTCTCAGCCTCAAATGAAAGCAAAGGAGCAGCTTCCTCTGAGCAAATCTTACCAGGAAAACCTTGTGACAGGGGTACACAACACATATTCTGTCTACATGGACAACAATGTCATTGAAAACCTCACCTTACTGCCCTGTGTATCTCGGGATGCTGTCCTGGTGATGGAGTCAAAACATAGAAACAATAATCTCAGAGCAGAGAAACAATTCCTGTTACAGTCAGACTAGTAGTTTAGCTTTTTTGAAGGAATTAAGTTGCTGGACCCCTTGAGCTTCACCACTTTTGTTCTGTGGATGAGATCTTGAGGTACTCAATGTATAACATGTTCAGCTCCAATGTTTGAAGTTCCCAGTGCAGTTGATGGTTTTCATGTTGGTGAATCTATTTTACTCAAAAACATAAGAAGCTATTCAAGGTGTTGAACCCGAACCCAAATGGGTTCAGCTCCTTGGAGAGTTCCTATAAAGGTCAGACTAAAGCTCAAGAGTGTATTCACTATACTCCACTTGGTTACCACAGGTGTTGCCCCTTACCAAGTGGCCCAGTAACATGGGAAAGAGCTTCCTTTGGCAACCTTGCTTATAAATTCTCCCATGTAAATTATATTGGAGCATCTAAAAATCAGTTGGTGTGTCTTAACTGAAAATGCAAGGCAGGAAGCTGATTGGATGGGCCACACCCAGAAGCTAGCTGAGCCTGGGACTTTTTGGAACAGTTGAATACTCCTAGCTGTGTAGGAGTTTGCCGAAAGAGAGTTTGATTTACTTTTGAGCTTCTGAAGGAAGGTTCCTCACATGGTCGCAGAAAAGACAGTTTGAATCTCTCTCTTAAAGGACGTTTTGTGAGTCAATGCAACTGTTCATATGTTGTTCTACTTTATAAAGAGTAAACTTCTTGTTCTGTATTGATCATCTGCGTGGCAAGATTGTGTGGATTGGTCAAACGTAAACTACACATGATTTTCATTTTATCACATATTACCCTTAATAAACCAAAGTATTTTCCATTAGGATTAAGAAGTGTGGAAGTCAAGTAACTACAGAGGTAAGTGTGTAAAAACTCACCCCACAATCCATTTCTGAGTAACAAATGCCTATGAAGAACTTTCTGGGTTAATTGCCATTTGCCACATTTTTCTGCTGAAGTGGTTTGAAATCTTTCCATTTGAGCCATCATTGAAAACACAGGCTCCGCACACTGTAAAGCATTTGACCTCTATCTTTTAATTGCTGTCCATTAATTTATTGTTTACAAACAAGTTATCATCTCTAGGCCTTTTGGATTGGTTAAAAATGGAACGACATAAAGGGGTAGAAGTGCGAGAGAAATAATTCCCCAGAATCAGGAAAGAAAATGGCACCATCACATGTGAGATTAACACACACATCCACTACCATGGCCACTTTTATTCTTCCACACATTTCAAACGAACTCTTTGTTTGACTACTGAGAGGTTTAACCAGAACATCTAACCTGTTTGGGAATGTTAAGCTGGTTACACGCAGCTAATGGGACTCAAGGTGGTCACTCACTGTGGCTTAAAGATTGAGAACAATCGCCACTCCTGTTACAAGGCCAGCAGACAAAGAGCCTTTATGGGATCAGGACAACAATCTCTGTTTATTAGCGTTGGGCTGACATGCTGAAAGCCCTGCTCTGCATGCCAGCACAAAAAGCTTTGTTGCTTGTAGATTGTTTGTTTATGTAAATGGAAATGGTGCATTTTATTATGCAACGGTAAGACTTCTTGTCACAAGAAAGCCGCTGATTGGATCGGCTTCCTGGAATAGGAACGCTGGCAAAGCGGAGACAAATCCTGACATTGTTAACTCTCTTCTCTGTTTTGGCTACACAAAACCTTAGGAGACGGGAAGGTCATTGACTGATCGCAGCTATATTGACCAATTTAAACAAAAGTATATAATTTTTTTTACAAAGCAGAGTGTATAGGAGATCAAGTCAAAACCGGATACATCTCTCCAGTTGAATGACAGACATCATGACAGAAGATGTCCAGGTTCCAACTGGCATGTCTGAATATAATGGGAATGTGTCCCTGGAGAAACCTCAGCTCCAGGTTATTGATATTATTGACCAGATAGCAAATTCTGTTGAGATATTTCCTTACAACTCTGTGGCATCTCAGCCTGCTTTGCTACTTACACAAGAAAACCAAGGAGGAGTCGGGCACTTTGTGGAGAATTCAGTCTACGAAGCATGTGACATCTCCACATATGAGGATACCGTTGGGCTGAAGGAGCATCAAGGTAAAAAAAATGCATGTATTATTTATTCCCATTTTTACCATGGGAAGAAAATCAGATTTTTTAAAAAATGTTTTCTGATATACCAAAAAATTAACGCATCATTCTAAAAGTTCTTTTATTTTTTAATTTCCATTTGTAATATTATAAATTCATTCTTTGTGAATAAGATTGGTTAACATTTGAGGATGTAAAAAGAACTCCTTTCAACTATCAAAACTGATATTTTAAAAACTAAATACAGCTTTACTCAAACACAGTCTAGCAAAATTTACACACACATTTTAATTCCGATTCACTTGAAATGGGAAAGACTGGAGCATATGCTCAATTCAGTGCCTGAAATCAACATGATTTCAAGAGGCTTAATTTGGGCTGGATTGTGCCCAAGGCTTGGATGTTCTATTAATTTTAAGTGAATTTTCTTCTAAGTACTTAGCGTGCCTCCAAAACGAGTTTAATTGGATGACAATCTATGGACTGTTTGTAACATGGATTTCTACTGTAAGTGGCTCAAGATGAAAATCTAACTTAAAGGATAACTCCAGGCACATAGATTTAACTTGCATTATGTGACTGGAAAGATTAGTAACTACAGCTGTGTAATCACTAATCACTTTTTAGGAGCTGGCATTTTTATACTCTCTTATCTTCTGAAGGAAAGCCAGAGGGATTCAAGGAGAAAAATATTGACAGCTTTGCACAGGAAAGAAGAGACTGGGAAGAAGAATCTGGAGAAGGTGAGAACTGTAGCTGATTATTATGGGTGGGTGTAATTAGGTAGAAAAAATATGTATTTTTTCAAAGTATATGTACAGTTTTGCCAGTGTTAAGTGCTAAGCAGTCCAAATTGCTCTAATTGGGTGTTTAAACATAAATCTTTCACATTGGAATCAACTGAAGTTACACTTAGCCTATCACTAGAATTTTGGCTTCAGGTGGATTTTGATGTACAAGAGCAGAACTGTTACTTCGACACAGAACTAAAATGGGGAAATATTCTCCTGAGATAATTAGCATCTTTACGGGGATAATGAAACCTTCCATGACTGATTCATAGAGAATGGGAATGATGACTCGTCCCACAACAGAGACTGTTTATCTGCTTTCCCAACATTACATTACTCTATTTAGCTAGCCATATATTTCCTTGTTTGCTTCCTTTACCTTAATTTCTAAAAGCTACAAGCTGAAAATCTAAATGGTACAGATTGAATAATGCTTTTGCTAGGACCAAGTCAAATTGCACAAAAATTGCAAACAAGCGTTTGAGTTCTCCATAACTTTTCTTTGGGATAGATGCACAAAGAACAAGTAAACCCTTTCAACTAAATGATCCATTCAAACATGGTGCGGATGGCATTTTCAGGAGTCCTAACAAGGTAAAACAACCCGAATGCTAATATTTGGAAAGTGGGAGAGGAGGAAGAAACAGGAAAAAAAGGAATAATGACTTAGGAGGAGCAAGATTTTATGGATATTTGCCGGTTTCTCCCTCCGGCAGATTTCTGGGGTTTGTAGTTTAGTGAGTCTGTTAAAGGCTCCTCCCTAAACTCCAAACCCCAGAATTCTGCAGGAGGCAGAAACTGGATTTAAAGTGGATTCATTCTCTAGTGTGATGAGGTCATTATAGAGATACAAGCTCCATTGTGTTAGGAGGGAATGGGAATCAAGCAACCTTCCAGAGGTTGGTGGACTGCACATCCCAACAGCTCTAGCCAGCATATTCACTGGTGAGAGTGCTGAGAGTTGCAGTTCAGCAGGGGAGGGAGAGTCCAGCTGGAGAGACAGTCCTTATTAATCTTCTGTTGTCCCACTTTTTCTGCTTCTTTTAAAATGTCTCAGTTTTCTCTCCTCATTTCATTTCTGTACATCAGCAAATGAAAAATGGGATCTTCCCAACACTGCATATCTACATCTAAGTTGAGCTACACAATAAAACGTATTAAGCAATATTTGACATCCTTTCCAGCTCTGCCTCTACTCCAGCTCTAAGGCTAAGGCACTTGATCTCAAAATTACAGACATTTTTTTTATTACCTTCTCAGTTTAACCTAATTAATTCTAAAGATACCACAGGCAGAAAGTTATATGAAACGTTTTGTCTTATAGTTGAATCACCAATTAATCCAAAGAAGAGCTGTGTATGACAAGGGTGCAGTGTACTATCTTTGGGTAAGGCAAGAAGAATGTCTGCATTGTCATGCTTGAGTAACAGTGGTAGTAGTAGCAGCAATAGTAATATAACTTTATTACAGAAACTTTCTCTATTCCTTTTCATTTTCTTTTTTAAAATCTTCCAAAGGAAATCAATACACAATAGCCATCCATTAGTCTTGTGCAATTAATCCAGCAAGTAACTGGAAGCTATTGCAAAATAAAAATAAGTATTGTATGGAATAGAGTAAAAGAATCCACAGAGTTGAAAGAGACCACAAGAGCCATGCAGCCAAACCCCCTGCTATGTAGGAAAATACAGTTGAACACTCCTGACAGATGACTCTTCAGCCTCTGCTTAAACACCTCCACAGAAGGAGACACCACCACTCACCAAGGCGGCATATTCTGCTGAACAGCTCTAATTGTCAGGAAGTTGGGTTGCTGTGAGTTTCCTGGGCTGTATGGATATATTCCAGAACCATTCTCTCCTGACGCTTAGCCCACATCTATGGCAGGAATCCTCAGAGGTGGGGAGGTCTGTTGGAAACTAGGCAAATGGTATTTATATATCTGGGGAATGGCCAGGGTGGGAGAAAGAACTCTTGTCTGTTTGAGGCAGGTGTGAATTTTGCAACTGGCCAGATTGATTACCATTGAATAGCCTGCAGCTTCAAAGCTTGGCTGCTTTGACAACACATTGTCAGGAAGTTCTTCCCAATGTTCAGGTGGAAACCCTTTTCTAGGAATTTGAATCTGTTGCTGTGTCCTACTAGTCCCCAGAGTAGCAGAAAACAAGCCCCCCCCCCCATGTGACATCCTTTCAAGTATTTAAGCGTGACCACGTTCCCTCTCAGCCTTCTTTTCTCCAAGCGAAACATACCAGCCCTCCAAGCCACTCCTCATATGGCTTGGTTCCAAACCTTTGATAATTTTGGTCACCCCCCCCCCCCTCTGCTCTGGACTTACCACTTCATCACAGTCTTTGGGAAGCATCCTAGGATACTTCTAGGATGCTTCCTTGATGGAGCCTGCTGGATGCTATCACATGACATAAGGCTACTTCTAGCAGGACTCCATCAAGAAAGCATCCTGGAAGCATCCTGGTAGCATGCTAGGATGCTTATCATTGGGAAGAATGGGAGGAACTCAGGTTGCACCACTTTCCACCATGTGATGGGGAAAGCAGCGCAGCAGGTGATGTGGAGCCCTTTGCTGTCACCCATATCTACACTGCATCCATATCTAGAAGATATACATCCTGCATGATAGTTTTCCATTGAAAGAACTGATCAGATACAATGAATTACTATGGCTTGCCTTCTTAAATACAGCATCCAGACTCTCTTGTATTTTCTTCTTTTAGACTGAGACTGATACAGCCTTGTGTTTAGAGCCCTGTCAGATAGCTCTGTATAACCTAGTATAAAAACTCTGTGAGAAAATCAACAACAGCAGAAAATTTGAATCAGAAATTTAAGTTCAACAGATAGCCCAATATTTAGCAATGCTGAACATTAGGCCTCCCCCTCCGCCTAGATGGGAAAGACTTAGCTTGTGGGCCATTGACATGACAGCAAACCAGTAAAAGACCTTTTAAACAATTAGAACATGCTTGTCAATATTCAGCAGCAAATCAGGAAACGCTCTTTAAACAAGTTATTGCCTGCATCTTTGTCAGGAAATGTTTGCTTTGCTTATTATTTCAAAGAAGAAAATTGTCAATTAATTTTGTTTTGTAGTGGTTCATGGACCATGAGTTGGAGGAAGGGAGTGGGTTAGAAGCATCATTGGGCCACATATCTCTCCAAGTTGCTGACCAGTAGAAGCTGATAGCTTTGAGTCAATGAAGCAGTAAATAGAGAGATCACTCCAATGTCAAAGATGTGGTTGTCATTAGGACAATGATTCTGCAGTAGTTTTTTTTTAAAATCCGTACTTTAAAAGATCTGTCCACTGCGTTTTATTCCATCTCCAAATAGATTTACCACTTTGGATGCTTTCTTTGTATTTCAAACTAAAATCCAGAGTGGATCCACTATTCTATTGATGTCTGAACTACTAGCCTTCAATGTTTTAGTAATAGTAGAACACTAGGAGTGCACAGAAAAACGCAGAAGGGAGGTCACATATCAGTTGAAAACTTACTTCAAAAACTGAGCAACCCAGAAACTGATGGAAACCAGGGTGATGCTGAACATTTAAAAGACTTGTATCCATGTCGTAGAAGGGGAAAGAGGGAAATCCACAGCTGAAATGACTGTCACAAGAGCAGCCTATCTTGGGTTGCCACATTGCAAATCTCTGGCAGGAGCAGCACTGTTAGGGCAGATATAAAGGGAAAAGGACTCTGGCAGATATCCAGTCCTAAGCCATATTGCAGCCCCCCCCAAATTCTCATGGTGGTTCGCGAAAAGGCCTTACTGGTGCATTATTTAAACTGTTATGTTTATTCATATCATGATCTGATCACCATACTCAATATATCCCATATGCATGGGGCTATTGGGGTAATGATACAAAAGGTTTGCTAGGCTAGACCCTCTTTCACTCAGACTCAGCCCCCCCCCCCCCCGAAACTCAGCCCCCCCAAAACCCCCCCTGAAAATTTTTTCCCCCCCCCCCCCCCGAAACGAAATCCTGGCTACGGGCCTGACCACAGGTGTATGTATGGTAACATTGAAGGGCAAAATACTTTCTCCATCATGACTATTGCAAATATCCTTACACATATGACTCTTTGGAGCCCCAGTGGCGCAGTGGGTTAAACTGCTGAACTGTTAAACTTATTAACTGAAAGGTCACAGGTTCGAATCTGGGGAGCAGCATGAGCTCCCGCTGTTAGCCCTAGCTTTTGCGAACCTAGCAGTTCGAAAACGTGCAAATGTGAGTAGATCAATAGGTACTGCTCTGGTGGGAAGGTAATGGTACTCCATTCAGTCATGCTGGCCATATGACCTTGGAGGTGTCTACAGACAATGCTGGCTCTTCAGCGTAGAAATAGAGATGAGCACCACCACCCCTCCACCCCCCAGTCGGACATGTCAAGGGAAAACCTTTACCTATATGATTGTTCTTATCAGTAAAATGTGCTCATTTTACTTTCCTTTGCATGTTCAGTGTAGCTTATTCCCAAGTTGGAAGCAAGTTCGCTTCCAACATATTGCGGCCCAATGATAGGAGCTGTCTTTATATTCCTTATTGTGTCATCGCTGAATACACTTGTGATTGATCATGTATGAGGAGATTAAACTATATTGGAGTCTTAGTGATCCAATTTTGTCAAATCATTTTGCGGGGAGGATAAATTTCCTAGTCTAGTCTTGTGGGAGCTCAACTCCATCCAGCCCTCCTTGTTATGGAGTTTATGACAAGCACTAAGGGCCACAAGATTGTAAGCGATTGTACATTCTCAGGAGAAGAAGTGGCAGGCCTGGTTTAATTTTACTCATTTTTTGCCTACTTTTTAGGATTTGTGCAGAGATTTGATATTTTGTTTGTATGAGTGATCTGACTACCAATGGGTTTACCCTATACTGGGCCGGCATTATTGATCCCATCAGCTCTGGAAGATGAGTTAACA